GGGGGATGGGGTGCTGCTCTGCCAGCTGCTGCACAACCTGTCCCCCGGCTCCATCGACCTCAAGGACATCAACTTCAGGCCGCAGATGTCGCAGGTGAGCCCGGCCCGCGGGCAGCCCTGCCGCACCGGGGATGCCGCAGGCAGGGAAACTCTTTGTCCCCCTCCCATGGGGCAGGATGGGTCTGGTGCTCTTGTGAGCATCCCGCGCCCCAGCATCATCGCCGTGGTCCTCCCCCGGCAGCACCGCACATCCCACCGCCTCCGCCACAGCCGTCGGCTCAAACTGTCTCTCTCTTTTTTTTTTTTTTTTTTTTTGCAACCCAAAAAAGCAAAAGGGGCTAAAACCCAGAAAACTGGAGACGGCTCATTGGCCTGACTCGTCGGCAGCTTGCACATAACGAGTCGCCCCGGTTTCATCCTTCGCCCCGGTTTCATCCTTCGGGCTTGGGTTTGTGGAGGCAGGGACCATGCGGTTAGGGGCGAGGAGGGTTGGAGTTGGAGCATTTCCCACGAAAGTTTGCGCTGTAAGCTTGCAAAGACAAATAATCTAGCGCGGGCTGTGTTTTGTTCCAGCCGCCGAGGCTGCCGGCCGGCTGTTTATCCGACAAGTTTCTTTGCCCTTGTTCCAGGCGAGGTGTTTGTTGTACGCTTTCTCCCCGTGTTTGCTGCTGTTGTGACTTCTTACTTAGCAAGTTGGAGGTTTAAAGTTACGACGTGCTGAAGAGCTGACTGCCGTCGGGTGTGGAGCTACCTGGTTTGCCACGGGGTTTGGTCCAGATTTAGGCCTGACCAAGGCAGATTTAAACACTCGCTTCACTTGAAATATGTTTTCTGTCCTGGGTCTGCATGCGAGTAGCGCCGGGGAGTTCACAGCTGAGCGTGTGCTTCGGGCTTTGCAGGATTGGGGGCTCAGGCCCTCATTTTACAGACTGCTTTGTTGGGGGAGACCCTTGTGTCGAACCCCATCTACTGCAGTGAGGCTCTTTTGGGGTAAAGAGAACAAGCGTAGGAGCTGGCTGATAAATAAAGGTGCACAAGTTAAGAAGAAATAAAACAAATATGGGTGTTTTCCCCAAAACACAGCAGTGGAGTGAGGTCCACCCTTTTGATTTCCAAGCCAGAAACAGATCTAACTACACTTCTATGAAGCTGACTTGATCCAAATATACGCTGTCACAAGGGGATGAGGGGTGCAGTTCGGTTTTTTGTGTGGTCTTGGAACAGATTGGGAATGCTGTACTTTTATTTTATTTTTCTTTTAAGGAACTATTACAGCCCTTCCTGTTCAATATCTGCTCCGTGTATGGAAGTGGGAGTTGGGTGAAAAATGATGGAGCAGTAGCTGAGATACAGGAGAGCTCTCCCTGTTGGTCTGAAAAGACTTTTTTGCCCTCCCATCTAGGAGCGAGAGCTGGATCTGCCTCCTGCCAGAGGCTGGGGTTTCACAGAACTGAAACCCTCTCATTCGTGGGTGACTTGGCCCCTGATTACACATGGCAAAGTCATTGCGAGCTGAATGAATTTGGGGCTTGTGGAACAGGATTACACCGATTTCGAGGTGAATCGGGAGGTCCTAGCTGTTATGTTAGCAACAGCCTTTGTTTTCATGGTGCTTTAAAAAAGAGAAATGGACCCCCTTCAGTTGAGCAGGCCCAGAATTTAGGCTTCAGTGTTTCAAGGATGCTCATCTGACAGCCGGAGGCTTGTGAAGTGTTTCTTGTTTTATTTAAGATATGATACAGAGGCCATCAAGGCCGGTTGGTGTCTTCTCCCTCACCACGTTGTGAGTTAGATGCATACCTGTCAGCTCCTACATTTGGCTCCCAAGGGCAGCTGGGGGCTTAACAAACCAGCTGAAAGCAGACAGAAGGTACTTTGTGCCTTGTTCTCGTCTGCTCCCGGCACTGCAGACACCTAGGACTTGGACAAAGTGGGAAGACAAGAGTTGGTTCAGTGGCGCAGGTGCTAGCCTAAAACTTGGGAGAACTGGTTGGTTCCTGCACAGTACTGCAGACTCTCTCTGTCAGCACGGCCAAATCTCTCCCATCTTCCTGGGCCTCAGTTATTTAGCTCTAAAATGGCAATAACACGTCCCTACTTCCTGCGGTGTTCTGTAATGGTGAAGGGACTGTATAAAACCAAGAAGGACCAGATCCTCTGTGTACCACATCTAAGCTATAGACACACGCATGGTGTGCATATCGGTGTAGCAACTAAAGTAGTGCTTTCTTCCTTTCTGCTGGGGGTTTTGCGTCGCTTTAAATGCCAGGCAGAAAGACTTGTCACATTGGGGGCCGTATTCTGCTTTCAGTTGCACCTGTGCACCCCATTAGGGCAAATGGAGGTGTGCCCTGGGAGGCACAACTTTGCTTGCACTGTGAACTGATTCAAAGGCCAGAGCTGTCGCCTGGCGAAGGAAACGCTTGAAGAACCGAAGCCTGTGCTGCGTGTGTGTCCTTATCCCCTTCGACCCCCGTCTCTGTACGGATGAGCAGTGGAACTTATTTAACCTGCAGCCATCAAAAGTATCCTAGAGTTGCTGCGTGAGCTTGAGACCTGTCAGGTCCTATCTGGAAACTTCACCAAAGCAGCAAGGCTCCGCTTGGGTCCCCTGCTGTCAAGAGGTGAACTGAGGACTGCTTCTTCTCCTTGCATTCTGCTTGATTTGTTCAGGAGAGGAACCTCGCCTGGCAGAAAGTCAGTGCAGTCAGATTGGGGAAGCCACACTCCTTGATGCTCTGTGGGATCGGTGTGAAGATCTATTTGTTTGTCTCCCTGGGGAAGGAAAAAAGCCATCTCAGCTCTGATACCTGCTAAGGTGATATTAGCCCACCCTGTGTGTCTGAGTCTTGACAGGGCAAGTAGAGGCTGGAAGGTGCTTTCTGTATCTTCAGCGGATGGGAGTCGGGTCTTGACGTCTCTGGAGGAAGCAGCCTGCTTATTGCTAATGACCGGGGTAGTGGATGCCAGCTCCAGTGTGGCAGGAAGCCAGAGAAAGGTGGAGATGATCCATCCCCCCACTCTACTCTTAATCCTTATTGATCTTTGGGTCTGTTACTCCAATGGGTTCTTTTATGGTGGGTTCAGGTCGTCTTGCCAGCCTGTAAAGCAGGAAACCCTGCTGACGCAAGGAACATTTTGGTTACACAGCCCCAGCACCCCGGGGTTATAATCCTTCCAGTCCCGTGTAAAATCCTCGGAGGCTTCTCTCCTGTTCCCACAACCGTGCATACTTCCACACCCGTGCATACCTGTGTCTTCCCATCCAGTAAAACTGGAGACTACTCTTACTAGCGTTCAGGCTTCTGGGTGGCGCTCAGAATTTGGGCACTGCATCTCTCCTCCTTGCTTCCTTTGCTCTTTTTTTCTCCGTGATTGAATTGAGAGAGGTTAACAGCTAGTTGTCTTGGTTGTAATGTTGGATTTCACACGAGCTTGTGGCTAAATTAATCTTTGCTGACAGGGAAAACTTCATGTGCACTTGGGCTGTGTGGCTCATGCCTGCCAGAGGCTGGTACCAATGTGGCTTATCGTTGTGCAAGGTGCCCCACGTGGATGAACCCCTGAGTCAGCACGGGGCCCTGGTGGCTTCCCCGGGGCTCCAGATGAGCTGTGCAGTTGTCACGTAGGGACTTTTGGTGAGGGATTGACTCGTACCTTAACTTTGCAAACACTTGGCTCTAGTTAACCAGGTTTTCCAGAGGCCACGGCTCCAGGACAGTTGTGTGTGTCCTCCCCCCCACCCCGGTGGCCTGTGATGCTTCCAAGGTCTTTGGCTTTGGGGCAACCAGGTAAATTAGAGTTAATTGTGAAGCTGGGAGTCTTCAAGTCGTTTGAGCCCTCTTCTTTTCAGCTCCTTGCCAGCCCTAGGGGCCTGCAAGGCCTGAAGTGGGACTCAGCTTCATGGGGCTGCCCCAGAACTGGCTACTCCACAGGCACTGGTGCCCAGCTAGCCCAGGCAGTCCTTCGTGGTACCTGAAAGCTTGGGGAGCCCCGGGGCTCAGTGGAGCTCAGCACTTGGTTTTCTAGCAGGTGCTGGTGGTCCTGAGACTCTTGCCTAGGGTCAGGGCTCCCTGGTGCAGAGCAGACATTCAGAGTCCAGAAATCCTGGGTCTGTGACTCCCAGCCAGACCTACCATGTGGGTTTTCCCAGGCAAGGGGCCCCAGGGACTGTACTGGACCAGCTGGGAGTCTGGGAGCCCTGTCGTGGGGAGTCTGCCGGGTAGGACTGCTAGGGTGTCGTAGACTTTGGGAAAACCCACCCTCTGCTGAGCAAAGTCGACAGGACATCACGTTCGTGCATTTCCAAAGTAAAAGGTTTTCCAAATATCCAAGAAATTAAAACCAAACTGGTTTGGGTCTGATTGGACTAAAACTAAAGGTGAGAAAAGAAAACATCTTGTGAACTGGAAATCTTGCATTGCAGCTACCTCTGGCTAGTGTCTTTTTCCAGGGAGGGTCGATTTGCAGCCTGTCCCAGCTCATGCTTTTGAGTCCTTTATGTCATACCAGTTTGTTCCCTCCTGAAATTTGGTCCCTTCCTCTGTTCCTTTCATTGTAAAAAACAGGCAAGGGGAAAAATCATAGTAGGCACCTTGATGTCACCCATGAGCTCTCGTTCCAGTTAGGACAAGCCTTGGTGGGTGGATGGGGGGGCAATAATTGTTTGCTGTCAGGGGCACGTAGGGGAGTCAACGCGTTAGGCTTGGTGCTATATTGCAGTAAGAACAGCATTTCGGAGGAACGTACAGAGAAATAGACCCATCACTTAATTTATCAGATTTTTGGCAGTTTCACTCTCAAAGCAGAGGAAACAATAATAAATACTGAGTGAAAAACATGAATCCTGCCTCTGCAGCGTTTTAATACTGTTCCCTGCCAGTGTGTTACCGTACATTCGCTCCCTTCTCCCAACCATGTTTTTTAATAAAGCTGAGAGAGGCGGAAGGCTGCATTAGAAAAAAATAGTGTCTAGAAAGGCCTGGTCTGCAGAGAGAGCCTGCTCATTTTCTTTCCCTGAGCACTGCTTGCTGATGCTTTTGGACCAGGTTGCTGGAGTACGATTGTAGGATCTTTGGGGCAGAGATCCTGTTG